AATGCCTATTAAAAGCATACCTGGTAATACATGATTCACAATAATATGTTTTTTTGCAACATGTAACATATAAATGTGTTTTAATTTAAAAGCAGTTTTGGCCATCTGCAGGACAGACATTCCCATTTTTGTCATCCAAGAATTTGAATTATTTTATGTTTACATGATTTGATTAAAACTACATCATAAATCATGACATTTTTCCTCATGCTGATGCACTTAATTGTTATATTGTCATTTGGCATCATTGGTAGGCACTTATGAGTCTCATTCTGTCCTACCTGAAAGTCAGAGGATTGCTGAAAAACAGTGAAGAAAAACTAGTATGTAGAAAATAATTTATTTTGAAATATTTATACTATTCCATCAAAATATAACAATAAATTTTAAGTTGTGATTGTTGATTAATATACAATATTCAAAGACAAAAAACTAAATGAACAATTGCAGCATTCTTTGACTAAACTTAAAAATGTCAAGAATGTTGGTAAAGTTTTTTTTACACTTGCTGTTAAAGACTTATCCTTGAATATGTACCTTATATTTGCATACCAGTGGCATTTGGTGACTTAAAAAACGATGTTAAGTATATAACAATATAAATGAGAACAGTTTAAAAGTTACTATTATTTTAATTAAAATAAAAATTAATTAATTTAAATTAATGTAGTAAGAGAACTTAATTGAATAAAATTCTTCAATTAAATGTTATTTATATAGCACACAACAACAGTTGCCTCACCTCAGTGCGCTTTATAATGAAAGTGTCTACAATAATAAAGAGAAAACCCCAACAATCATTAGTAGAGCACTATGAGGAAAAAGTCTCTTTAGCAGGAAGAAACCTCCAGCAGAACCAGGCTCAGGAAGGGGCAGCCATCTGCTGCAACAAGTTGGGGATGAGTCTATGAAGACATGACAAAGACATGCTGTGGAACTCATCTAGAGATTAATAATAACTAATAATTAAATGCAGAGAATTGTATAAACACACAGTGGTGTTTTTGTGTAGCTTAATCTGCGTAGCAATTTAATACAAAACTTATTAATAACGTTTTATTTTGTAGTGTAATCTCCACATGCTTCCAAGCACACTCTCTGTGTATTCACTGCCTAATTTATAGTTACAGCAGAAGGTAACATAGGCCCACTAGCTGTCCCCTGGCAGACTGTGCCATGCAGCCAGAGAAAAGGGTGGTTGGGTGATGGTAAGGACGAAGCATAGTCTTAAACAGAAGCCCCTGGTCCACGACAAAGCTGTTCATGTGTCTAACTGCTTTCCCCCACTCGGCAACACAGCCGCCGAGGATCAAACTCTGGTAATTAGTGATTCTGTTCTGAGACATGAGAAGCAAGAGACACCAGTAACCATAGTCAGTTGTCTTCCAGGGGCCAGAGCAGGCGACATTGAGGGAAACTGCTGGCTAAGGCTAAATGTAAATTCAATAAAATTAATCACATTGGCAGTTATGACACCTGTTTACAATTGGAGGTCACTAAAATTAATATTGAATTAATATTTGCCAAAGCAATTTTGGACTCTGCGGTTTTCTCTTGTATGTGAGGAGCATGATTTTGAATTAAATTCTGGATTTAACAGGGAGCCAATGAAGGGAAGCCAATATAGGAGAAATACACTCTCTTTCTAGTCCCTGTCAGTACTCGACAAGACCGCAATGATGCATTGAGTATTTCTTCTTCAGTCACCTTTCTCACTTAATAGACCTATCTGCATTGAATCACACTTGGTTATTAATCTCTGGCTGTCTTCCACAGCATGTTTTGTATCCGTATTCCTTGTCTCTCTCCAACCAGTCATGGCAGATGGCCCTGCACCTCCCCGAGTATGGTTTTGCTGGAGTTTTCTTCCTGTTAAAAGGGAATTTCTCCTCCCCACTGTCACCAAAGTGATTGCTCATAGGGGATCATATGATCATATGGGATTTTTTCTGTGTGTATTATTGTATGGTCTACCTTACAATATAAAGTGCATTGAGGTGACTCTTGTTGTGATTTGGCGCTGTATAAATAAAATTGAATTGAATTGAAGTCTAACTATAGTTAGACTACTTTACCAATTTGAAATTGTTGGTTAAACCTGCACTTATTCAATTTGCCTGTTATATTCAAAAGGACATAACACGAGTTCCACTGCCTATGATTAAAATTTTCATATTAATGTGGTAAATAGGTGATTAAAAGTTTCTTACATCACACATTGTCTAAGGAGCTTAGAAAGAAAAGCGTCTAGACTTCTTTAAGTTCAAGCAACCTAAAGAAGTCCAGATGCTTTTCTTTCCAAGCTCCTTAGACTACAATGACCTGGATGAATGAGAACCTTTACAGACTTACATCACACATCTTGGTCAGTGTATAACTAGGCAGTTTAAATCTATATCATCATTTACTAGTAGACTTACATAATTAACATTAATTATATATCTGAAAAACAAGATGTTTAACTTTTACTTTTAAAAATACATTTAGTGGAATACACCGTGAGTGACCTTTTAGATGCACCACTGCATGTGGCAAGTATATAAGGGAAAGAAAGGCGTTTGGCTGCTGTCAGTCTGGCGCAAAGCTTACAGGACAAATTTAAAGATAGTGACAAAGTCAGCTAGCAGTTTGTTTTTATGCAGGCAGATTTAGTTTCAGCTTGGATTTAATTTAGTTGTTCTGCCACTGTGGAAAACAAAGCAGTGGTGGATGGGAGCACTTTTCTTCACATTTAAGCTTTTTGGACCCATATCTGCAAGGGCTTAAGGGGAGGGGACATGAGGGCAACAGCACAAGCCATATGTAGCACTGGTGGTGAAATACTGGTAGTGGGCATGTAAGGCCTGTTAGCACTATTTCTTGCCTTCTTTGTATGTAGTATAGGCAGTATAGTTACCTATAACAACAATACCAGAACAGAAGGGAAATATGGGCCAGATCAGACAGATTCTAGATTCATAGGAGCCAAGGGTGTCTGACAAGAACGCTCTAAAAGTCCTGCCTCCACACCATTTATCCACATATTAATTAAACTTATGTTTTGTTTACATGCTTTGTATCAGTATTTATTATATTTAATTGCTTTTTATCAATATTTATTCCCATTGTGAAATTAGTATTTTAATCAAAAGTATATCAATATTTATGCTTTTAATCCCGTTTTTAACACTGGGTTACACATACATAAGCTGAGTCTCCAAAGAACAACTGTGTGTTAAATACATTTATTTTACAATTTTACAAACAGCTAATTACAACTACCTACCTACTACAACTCCACTCTTCCAGGAAAGAAAAGAAAACACTAAACTGTAGAGTGAATTAAAAAAACAGACATGGTGCAACAGTTCTCTGAACTCTGACGAAATTAAGGACGTTAGTCTGAGGAGACAGCCAATAATTGCTCTTTCAACACTTTGAGGGGCCTTCGCACATTATGTGCAAACACTAAATACTACACACTAAAATCGTGATATTCCTGCTTCGCCTTGCAATCAGCACACACCAGGAAAGGCAGACCTTCATCCCAGTCTCTCTCAGAGTCAAGGCAGTTTTATGCAACCTCTCTAGTGCACCTTGTGGTTGGGGATGCTATGGGCTAGAGAGGACATGCACACTACATAAAGATTGGATGCCTGCCTGAACACTTTTGATTGAAAATTTCCCTACGTTACCTCTTTGCTGCCTCCTGTGTGTCTCGATGAGAAGGTGTAGGTCTACCAGTGATGATAATCTTTATTGATGTTTTCTTATCAGTTATTTTGTTAAGATAAATAAAATCCACTTGCTCTAGAGCTACTTAGATTTACACACTGTCATAAATGCATTTTACAGTTCACAGACAGCAGTTTTTAGTTCCAGATGTGAGTGAAACAGTTTCGAGTCATGCTATCATCAGTGTCTTTTTGCTTTTTTCCATGACATTAAGAATTCTCTCCTTTTCCTTCTTTCTCCTTCATATGCTTCTCTTTTCTTTTAATGTGAGTATGCTGACTGTACAAATAATGAATTGACAGCCACCCTACTTGACAGGTAGCACAGTGGCCCAGAGCCCTGTACCCCGTTTCTTGTCATTAGTTTGACCTTTAGCACCCACTAAAAACATTGCTGCAAACCAAATGTACCCACTCCCCACTGGTACTCCTCACAGCAGGAGTCTGCAAGAAAGAACAAAATGCCATACCTCAAAAACTACTCAGGTGCTTCAGGAACACCACAAAGGTATTTACTTGACCTCCAGTCTCCCTAGAATCCAATAAGACCTTAGTCCAACAAACTCAAATAATCCACTGCCATTGTTGCAAATAAATCTTTTATCTTGAAACAGGACAACAGAAAACTAACATTTACTGTGTAAGAGGTTTTCCAGCTGCTTGTGGTCAAAGAATTTGGCAATAATTTCTTGCTATCATCAGTCACCAGCAGTATTTTAGTATTTAAGGACTGGCTGGAAACTTCAGTTCCGTGTAAAATTTAAAGTGGGTTTTTTAAAACCCCATCATTGTGGTATGCTACTATCATCAGCTATACTATCACAAATACAAACAAATATATTGTTCACAGTGCAGGGTATTTAATGGAACCCATTCTATCTGAAAGCACGAGTATGTCCAATGTGCATGTTATTTTTAGCTTATCTTTTTTCTGTCTTGGCCCATGAGGAGAAGATGAAGTCACTGGTTTTAAATTGCAAATGTTTTCTAAAACTGGCCAAGTCAAACATCATCAGACTGTGACTTGAGATAATCTCATTTCAATTAGTAAAAGAAAGAACAGTGTGTTTTACCGTAGTGACAGATAGTATTTGGTTGTCTCAGTATAAGACCATTTTTCAGTTTAGTGTGAGGGTTAGACAGGGACTTTGCCTTACCTGCTGGAAGACCGCCGTCTGTGTACCCATCAACAGCTGAATGCTCCAGGGTCTATGTTGACTTGTCAGTTTTAATAACTTTTCTTTGTGTGTGTGTGTGTGCATGTGTGTGTATTTGTGTTTTTTTCAGGGAATTTGCGAAGGAGAGAGAGCGTGTGGAGAAGAGGCAAGAATTCTTGAAGCTTCGCCGACAACAGCAAATAGAGAGAGAGTTAACTGGGTACCTGGAGTGGATCTGCAAAGCGGGTCAGAAACACAATCATATCTTTACACTGCAGGTGTAAATTTAGTTATTTATATATATATATTATTTATATATATATTTATATATATAGTTATATACTGATTTTTACCGTTGGATTTCAATAACAGCTTTGCTTTACTTGATGTTAGCACTATTATGACATAATTGTTTATCATAATTTGTGTTGCAGAAGAAGTGATGCTGGCTGAGGAAGACAAGAACGCAGAAGAGAAATCTTTGGATGGAGCATGGTACAAACGAAAACACAACAACTCTGGTGAGGATTGGTATCTTCAGAATCAGTTTTCAACATTGAAAACATTTACATTTAGAACAACATGCAACCATCATTAAGAAGTTAAATATAAAAAGTGAGCTGAAATCTAAAAATCTTTGGATGCACATTATAAGACTTACAGGTCCCATATTTTTTAGGTTTTAAAAAAAAACTATTTACGTTTATTATAGCTTTGTGTGTGGCTATGTGGCTGTGCATACATGTGCCTGTGTATGTTTACATGTGTGCTCATAGACCAGACTAGCTCTCATCTGCAACTCACCCAGGATTACAATTAACCTTTATTATGGTTATAAAGGTGGAAGGCCAATGAGATCAAAATGCAGGAGAGAGAAGGAGGCTCACTGAAGTTAGCATTGTAATATGAGTGCCCTTCATGCAGCTGTGACTCACTTTTCTGTCATTTGAATACCGTCCTGTTTTTTACTCTTCCTTTTTAAGAAATTCTCAATAGCAAACTTGAACTGTGTTATTTTACAGAACGCCAACAGCAGTAGAGCAAATTTGGGTGTTATGTCAGCAGAATGGAAAATATTTGTACAACCTAAATTCTTATGTCTTTTATGATAAATATTGCATAAACCAAACTGGAGGCCTCTGTTTTTTTTCCTCTTAAGTTTTATATGTATGGTAAGGCTGCCTCCTTGGTTTAGTTATGGTTGTTTTCCTTTTCACTTACCATATCTTCCACACTATAAGGCACACTTAAAATCCTTTAATTTTCTCAATGAAGACATTTCACCTCTCATCCGAGAGGCTTCTTCAGTTCTTCTCGGATGAGAGGTGAAACGTCTTCAAGCAACTTAAAGAAGTCCAGACACTTTTCTTTCTAAGCTCCTTAGACTACAATGACCTGGATGACTGAGAACCTTCACAGACAACACAGCTTAGCATTCACTGTGTTTATGTTAGTATTGTCACGGTCCGGGGCAGCGGCCGTGTGGAGAGTGGAATGAGGACTCAAAGTGCAGCACTTATTCAGGTGTGAGGGTGATTTATTGATAATAACAAACATAAAGAGGAGATGGCAAAGCAGAACTACGGATGAACTAAACTGGGTGAAACTACACAAAGGAGTGGCAAACCTGAACACGAAGGGAGAACAGCAGGGAGAGCACGCAGAGGATTTCACAGGGTAGATGCAGAGTACGCAGGATAACACAG